GGTTCATCACAAAATGTTAGTATTCACCAAATTGCCTTCTCTCGCATCACGCGCCTCTCACCCTAGCTCCTCAAACAATGTTTAGGCATGAATCCTGGAAGTTACTTTTAAAACCGGTTGCAAATTTAATCGCTATTTTTTCAGCCCATTCTAGGTGTTATGTTAGAAAAATGTGAATTTGCGACGGATTTATCCTTTCTATTAAAAAAAAAAATTGTATGATACGAACTTTTTTCAACGAGTCTCAAAAACGGAATCATATTCCTTCAAAAAATGCTATTTTGTTTTCTGAGCAGCTGTTTCTTTATGATTTCAGATCCCTCTCTCGAACATCTCACGTCATTGATAGCAGGGCTGAAATGAAACCCAAATCGCCGTGGATACCTGCTCATGTCTTCTCCGGAAAGATTCTGCGCATGCCCAATGTTATTTACATAAAGTTTTGTGACGTAGTTGTTTAAGTGTTAATGGTTCCCCTTAAACTATTTCTTGGTAGACCTCTGTGCGAATCCAACTTAAAGCTCTGCTGTAGGGAATTTTTGTGCCATAATTTCTGTCTTACGTAAACACTTCTCACTTCCTTACGGTCCTGGTCTTAGAAACTCTGTAAATCTTCCCCGATACTTGGGTCGCGTCTGTCGTTTTAAGTACATCTCGCAAGAGAACCGGATAAATATCTTAACCAGCGCTATTTATTCTGAAGATAAAAACTCCTCTTTAATTTGATTTGATCAAATTGTTACGGAGCATTTTCCGACTGATGCCTTGCATCAGTTTTAAAATTTAAAAAGATTAAATGATCGATGGTGAAAGTACTACATGAATATAAGATTCGGCGAATCAACGCACGAGCTAACAGTCATTTTTCGTTCAACGTGACGCGACCCAATTTTAAGACTTTGTTATGACCTTTGTACAGTTGAATCTCTGCTACTTTAATACCCGGCTCCAATATTTTTTTCCATATTATTATTTAAGAGCTGGAGAAAAGAAATGAAGCCGTCACTTTGCGGCAAAATTTCAGTTGATAATGAACGCACAGACATTCGGGTACCTTGCATAATTTAATTTACCTACCCACTTTTGAGCTCTGTGTATCAGACATCCGGCGATATGCTACTCCTAAATACCCAGTGGATTTTGCATGCAGCTGTTGTGTTGTTCAAGAATTCGAACAATTTTTATATTACTGATCTAAATACTACATAACTAAAAACTGCCCTCAACTTTTTCTAGATGTTTGTAAACCCCTCCTCATTCTTTTTAAGTACTTTCTTAATTTTTTTATCGAATTGTGAAATAATGTAATGTAAAATGAGACAGTGACATAACGTGCTGATCATACGGCTGAGAACTTGTTTATTTTACGGAAATTGTACCCAGGAGATTTCTGCCGCTAAGAATCCAGCAGAAGGGGTACGCATTTCTGTGCGTTACAGTAAAGTCACTGTTGGCCCATCCAAACTTTACTTTTTCCAATGAAACTGAGTTGCGGATGATACTCGTGCTATGAATGAACTAAATAATTAATATTTTTTTTAGAAATTCTCAGCTGAAAGGTGTCAAGTGTGTGTCGGAAGTGTAAAATTCTGAAATGATCTCATGCTAATCTGTCCCCTGAGGACGAAAAAATATCTACACCGTAAGCAACGGATCAGCTTTAGAACTTGAAAGCACAAGATGAGTGTAAGCATGGGCGGAACTAGGAAATGTTCGTGGGGGAGGGGTAAAAGGACGGCAGAAGGAGGGCACAAGGGGTGTCTAGCGGGCACAAAATACACTTCAATAAGGGGGTCTGCAGGACTCCCGTGGAGCGTGGAGAATTTTTCTAGCTTTAAAGGGGGTACGGAGGGCCTTCCCTAGAAAATTTTGAAAAATTGAGTCGTCTGAGGTGCAAATTTTAGCTGAACTCATGTCACCGAAAATTCGATCCAGTTTCGATTTCCGAGATGAAATTGTCACGTCCTTTTTCTGCCGTGCTAAGGAAAAACGCCGTATGAACATACGAGAGTTGTCAAATTTCCCCGAATAAAATATGTATTTTTGAGGGAAGTTGCGCATATTTTTCCTTGAAATTCTCAGATATTTTAGATTAAATCGTGAACAAAATTTACTGAAAAACTCGAGGACAAATATTCACAATTTTCTCAGAAAATTCTATTTTTCTTGAATGAAATATGGCAACGTCTAAAGGCTCATACGGCGTTCTTCCTTAGTACGGCAGTACTTAGCTACTCAGCAAAATCTCTTACGTCTCTCGGGAGGGGTCAAGTAGATTTCGGGAGAGGGCAAGCTTCCCCCCCCCCTAGTTCTGCTCATGAGTAGGTATACAAACAAGCCCACCATATTGGAGGGAAAAGCTACCGAAAGTGGAATGTTGCATGATGTGTCGACCGACACACACTGACCATTGAAATCCCGATCAGTAACACAGAGCAAATTTTTCACCTGATCCATTTTCAGCGTAAATCGAAAGGGACCTAATCGTTCTTTCATCTGACGTAGTGACGTCACCACTGAGCTCCCTTGCCCTTCAAAAGAATCGTCTGATTCAGAAGGAGTTAAGTGCATATTCGCAACCCTTGTTCGACATCAGACCTTCGTTCATTTCAACCTGTCTCCTTGCCATAAGTTTATAACGCGGAAGAATTTGTCTAATTAACTTTCAATGTTTGTAAAGTTTAAGTAGATAAGGTAACCATTTTACTTTAATGTCCTTTTTTGTACGGTAGCTTTACTTATATTTTTAAATTTATTAGTAAGCTTTTGTAGTGGTTGCTGCAAAACAGAATGTCTCTAGTCAAAAATAGAATGTGGAATGAACTTTCAACTTATTTAAATATTTTCGAATCTGAACCCTCTCTGAGAAAGAAACCTCTCCTCGTATTGTAGGTACTTAGCGAACCCTTTTTTCGATCTTGAGATGGACGCGGATGTAGCGATTTGCGTGAGGTTTTAAGAAACACGATTTTTCTTTAGGTTAAATTAAAAAAAGTGCATGAAATGGGAATCGTCCATTCGGACTGTGGGTCTCTGATTTTCCTTCAGATTTCCCGAGGTATTGAAATCCTGCAGTAGCTACTGCCATGGCCGCAGGTCCTTGAATCGGTTCTTTTCACCTATGAGGATTGGATTTTTTATTGAGTCAGTCCCCTCCCCATTTCTTTTTTTAAAAAAAAAAAAAATTAGGACCCGTCATGGTTCGTTACAACCCACCGTAACAATTATACCTTTGTACAATAAAACTAGAAGTCTCGGAAAGTAAGGGGTGAGCTAAACCGAGCGTCGAATTAGAGGTGTTTAACATTGAGTGCTTCAGATCCTAAAATTAAATGAATCTCCTTGGAGCAAAGACTCGAAATACTTTAAAAAATAAAACAATTTAAAGACATACTTTACAAGAAGTAGATTTTTATAGTTTGTCACTTGTTTGTAAAGGACAAATGGAAGCCTCGTAAAAACTTCATCTTCTACGCGCAATTTTTTTTTTCAGATTGTTTTGTACGCTATTGGCGTATTTAGCTTTTAGAAGTTTTTATTATTTCCTAACTCGAGGTTGTAAAATGCTTGGAATGGTGGACGCTGAGACGACTTGTTCATGTTACCTTATTCTTTTTCACAGCATTTTTTTTATTTTTTCCCCCTTTCCTTTTTCAAAGTTTTTCCTTGTCACAAAAAAAACACAAAGCGCGAAACGCGCACTGATGCTTACAAACCTAAGGGGATACTTCAAGCATTGCGAAATGCTTGAAGTATCCCCTAGGTTTGTAGGCGTCAGTGCGCGTTTCGCGCTGGCAGCACGCCGCGCCGCAGCATGCCGTAATAATCGAAATATATCGTGTTTGTAATTATGAAATTTATAGGTCAGGGTGTTAAAATGTAGGCAATTTGACATCAAATTCGGAATTAGCGACTCAAAAAACATCTGTTACGAAACTTTCGTGATCTTTCCGTCATTATCCGACTTATTTCTTCATTCTTGAGTTTTGGACCATAGTGCACCGCGGGTGGTCGGCGGCTCATGAAATTGGACTGCGTTTTGCAATTTGGAAATTCTGGCTCTTCTGGAAAAACACTTATGCGCATAGGGAAACTAATGGCACATACGCTGTTTTAATACCGGGCCAGAATCTATAGTTCCAAATTGCAAAATGCAGTCCAATTCTCCCCTGTACTCAACCGGCAGCGAGCAGCAAATCGGAAATTCAAATTATTTGAAAAACGAGAAAATCCCCGCCAACCGCATCACACAATGGGACACCAATGAAAGATCACAATTTCTCACTGTCTGAATTCAACTGACTCTTGATTTGGCGGAACCCTGCTCAGCGCTTTCCGTTTGAGAGAGATCGGAGAGAGCTTTGAGTATTTGTGCATCCAAGCATTTTACACCGAATTTAAGTACAATTTTCCTCGTAATTTATTTCAAGTTAAAATAAAATCTCTCCCTTTCAACCGCTGCTTTCCAATTAATGACAAAATAATACTATAAAAACGTAGTCAAGTACAGCTATGCATCAAGATCACAGCTTACTTGAACTTCTCGAAAGCTCACCAAACATTTCCAACTACGTGAGTAATCTCTCCTCTGTTTCAACCGTAAATGTAAGAGGAACAAATAAACCTCACATGATAGGAATGAAAGAGTCTAAATTCCTACTTTTTCTTCGATTCAGCGGGCACCGTACATGGGATTCAATTCTCCTTCATTCCGGTGATTATGCAATACCACCTACAGAGGAACCGTATGCGTTTTTCCCTTTCTATGCGCGAGTTTCACTAGTGTAAGGGTCCACTCAAACCTCCGTTCAAGGAGGGAAAAACGGGTTCCCACTAAATATTGTCGAGCAATATATCTGCTGGGGCCTTATTTCAAGCAAATCTTGGAGGTCCCATTCATTTTAAGTTGTCCGAGTTCCATTTCCATAGGCGACAAGGGCGGGAAAGCTAAATCCCATGTTTTCATACCAACCGAAAAAAAACCAGCAGCATTATTTCTTTCCTCTTTCTGTATGTTAGGGTGTGTGTATGTGTGTGTGGGGGGGGGGGGTATTCGCCAACTCTCCCCTATAAGCCCATGAAATTCGGAAAGTGGTGCTAGCTGGTGCTACTCAGCATTCCATAATTCATGGGGGAGGGGGGGAGTTGGGGTTTGAACAGCAAGTGTGTTATGCGATGGAGGGGAGGTATTCGCCAACCCTCCCCTATAAGCCCATGAAATTTGGAAAGTGGTGCTAGCTGGTGCTACTCAGCATTCCATAATTCATGGGGGAGGGGGGGGGGGGGGTTCGGGTTTGAACAGCAAGTGTGTTATGCGATGGAGGAGAGGTGTCCACACATGGGAGAAGTATGTTATGTGACACTCGGACATGCCCTTTGATAGACACTGATCTCTAATTGACGCTTTTTAAAGAATAAGAGCTTTACTTATTTTTCTCCAATAGTTCCTTAGATTTTTAGGTGGTGTTGAAATTCCTTTCAAAATTTGAATTTGAAAAAAATATAATGCCGTTTTCGACGGTTAGAAATTCTTTAAAATATGCAGTTATGCAATATTGCAACATCCTTTTCACTGTTCAAACGTTTTGACCACACTAAACCAATGAGATAAACCTTATTTGGTGAGCTAATTACACCTCAATCTTTGTATTTAAATTGGAGTATAATCCAAGGATGAATAAATTAATGTGAAAGTTACATTATGTGTCAATGGGTGCCATTAAAAGAAACACTGTCAGATTCTCAGGAACCCCTAACTTAGTGTTATCTTTGAACTTGAGCCTCCTTAAAGTTGAGTAATTTCTAAGAACATTTCCGTACCATTCCTTGTATTCATCTGAACTTTGTTTCAAAGTTTACCTGCTTCACATGCCAGCAAAAATAGCAGCAAGCTGCTATATTATCTACACAGGTAGATGAAAGAGTAGATTTATTTGAAATGGGGTTTAGGTGCCTAGACTAGTCCTTGTACATTAAACTTCACTTCAAGCTTCTATAAATTTAATCTATCATTGGTTCGAGTTCATAAGACTTCACTAAGATTTGCTCAAAACCATCTCTGTTCCTTTTTTTCTACAGTGGCACATTTCATGGTGAACAATTGAATAGAGTATTTTTAAGGTACCTACTTTACCTAAGTATTAGTGATTTATAAAATTTACCCTCATGGTTATCATAGAATTAGTACCTATTTATAATCTGTACCTATTTATAACTTTTGAAACTTTCCCCTAATTTAATTAACCGAGCCTTTGATCCTCGGGTCTTCTCTTATCACAATTTTGTACTCCGATCCATTTTATAGTAGATAAGTAAAAGGCAAGATTTGGGAGGAAAAAAAGAATTAAAAAATGAACAATGAAAGAAATCCCTCAACTGAAATTTTCTGTTTCCCTTTTTATATGCTTGTGCCAAACTTCCTTAAAGTAGTAATAAATTTGTGTAAATATCGGTACATTAAATATTAAACAAGTTTGAATAAAGTTCTGTTTTTATTTTAAAAAAATTAGTATTTTTGGCTGACAACATGAACTTGAATTCCCTGTGAAGAAGTTTCTTTTTTTGTCAATTTCTCCAAAGATTAGACGACATACCCATCTAGAGAAATGTGAGTGAAAACATTGTCACTCTGGCAATCACGTTATTTTTAAAAATAACATTGTGACAGTATTTTCGCATGCTTTATACAGAGTATTGGTCTGAACAATTTGTATGAAGAACCCACGAGGAAAGAGAAAATACATAGAATCTCAGACTCCAGACTCCACTTCATTTACTAGCTAACCTTTGTCAAGTTTTCTGTATCATAATCTTTGAGAACTATTTTATGATTATCTCGGCAAAAATGTGATATTTAGTTATTCCCCAAAAGAAAGCATGACAGGGTAGCTATTTTATTACTCTAAATATGATTTGTTGGTTTAATGTTGATGCCTTCCAAAAAAGGATAATAAACAAAAAATGAGAATGAGGAACAAACAAGATATTTGGTACAATAATTTAATAACAAAATTTAGAGAGATTTACTCTGATGACGGACAGAAAAATTGATCATTAGCAATGCTTTCAATTAGAGGATACAACAAAAACAATCCAAATGATTGAATGAAAGTGTTACAAACCAATAGGTAAAATTCAACAACAGATGTTTAGAGATGTAATTGAGCCAGGAGATACATCTTTTTGGTATTTGGTGGCAAATATTGCCATTCCTTCAAAAAGTAAGGAGGAGAAGTAAAGACTGGGGTGGAATCTGATTCCATAAAAACAAAAACAAAAAAACAAATTATCGTCTTTATGAAGACTTTGTTCAAGAATATGAATGCCTCAGACCTCTGGGAGATCAGAGATTCATAAAAGAGATTAGACAATGGTGTAAAAATAAACCAATAACTGAATAAGTTAGTTACATTAAATAAATTGAACAGCTACTGGTGACTTTTAAAAACAGTAAATGTTCCCTTAAATTTCATCATAGCACTTTCATTGTTGGAAAACAATGCACAAAAAACATTATTTTTATTACGAACATCGTATCTTACTAAATAGTGACGCATTCCTTAGTTTTTAATGCAGGTCTCATGGACCTAACGATCACTTTTTTCAGATAGAAAGCTCCATTAGAAAGCTGACTGATGCTTACCAAAAACATTTCACGAAACAGTTGTGGATGCTTGATTCAACGATGAGCTGAGCTTTCGTGGAACGAAAATTCAACTTAACAGGGCAGGATATTAAGTCTATCTGTTCTTTAAAAATCACCAGTATTGAGAATAATATTAAAATTGGTAACTGAGGCTGAAATAGGCTTCAGAGGTACTATAGGACATAGAAATGTTTAAAATAATAACTAATTTTCACTGGTATTAATAAATAGTTCCTTACATGCTAGACAATAGATGTAAAAAGAAATTGGAACCGGTAGAAAAAAGCACTGCTGAAGAAACTTCTGAAAGGTGTGAAAAATTACAGGAGAGGATTTAAAAAAGTTGCATAGCTATCAAGTGAATTATGATGTTGTACAGATGTAGAGGTTTTTGAATGGGTTTTACCTGAGAAATATGAATGCACAGGCTGAGCAAAAAGTTTCAAAATAAAAGCTGATGAATAGAATGAGAAGTTAACAGTGTGTAAACACTCGGTAAAACTAAAAAAGTGTACATCTACTGCATAATCGATTAATATCAGTGGTCCACATATAAAGAAATAATAAATTATTTTGACTACAGAATCTCTGCATTACATAACAATGCAAAGTCGAAAGCAGGCTCAGCAAGCAATTCACAGATAATTTATAGATTGAGGCAAATTCTGAAAGAGGAAGTCTATTGTGAAACCTACTGTGCAGGCACGATTTGCATAAAAAATATACCTAAAGGTGCGACATTGTGGTTATTGGAATTAGAAAAAATTTCTGCAGAACAAAATTAACTTAGTGAAGCTTCCTATGTGTTTGGAAGAGGGCAAAAACCAACAGATAGAAATGGGCGGTAATTTGCAAAAAAGTATGATTAGGTTACTCTCGTTTCAGAAAATGCCTCTTTCATGAGAATAATAAAAGATAATCACAGTAAGATGCAAAACACTCTCATAAATGAAGTTTTAGCCACTGTAGGAATTAAGCTAAAAGATAGGGACACACATTAAATTAGAATTCCTACATAGTCATCACTTTGAAAGTAACAGCTCAGGAGCTATAAATATATACCACTTATTTTTGCTCATGATCAGTTACTCAACAGAGCAACAACACATTAAACTAAAATCAAGAGGAAAAACAATTATGTACTTCCATTAAGATTTGTAGAATTATCAACAGAAAAATTGGAGGTTGATTACCTTTGACTGTTAGACGCAGTAAACAGCAATATCTTCTCAGGGGAAAGTATTGGCTTTTGATACCTGTGTACAACGGCAGTACAGCGTCATAGTTGCATTCAGTCTATTTTTGATTGCTACTGGACAGCGGCAGCGCAGATCCACACATTCAGCAAATAATCAACTCCCAACTTCTTTGGCTTTGGTTCAAATTGAAATATACTTGAAAAAATGAGGGTTTTTGATAAAATTAACGATGAAAATCTGGGGCAAATTTTGACAAATGTTAACCTCTGAAAATGAAGAGAGGTAAATTTTCATCATCCAATTCAATATTTGTCCCAGCTCAAGTCTCAGGAGTATTAACGACATGAATGAAAGGTAATTATTTTTTTTGTCAGGTACCTTAAAAATTGTAGAACTTTTGCACTGAATTTCAAGAAGATTATGAAGTTAATTTCATATGAATAAAGATGAACATTGGCACCTGGTTTTAGGGGTAACCCAACTTTAATTGAACGGATCAAACACACTTAGAACAATAAATTAAAGAGGTCCACATGAATTCCTAGAATGATCCAGGTGTTCCTTTTTCTTAAGATCATACTAGTTACACTGTTACAAACCTCACATTAAAATGTAGTTGGACGTATTTCTATCAAACGGAACTATGTTCATTGTGACGTGAGCCCTGTAATGCATATATTCTTATGGGTCTCAGGGCTCATGTTTTAATGCACATAGTTCCGTTTGATAGAAATACGTCCAGTTATGAGTCACTTCCTCTCTTTTTTCTCAGACATTGATTCCAGAATAAGGTCAACTTGAGCGTTAAAGTGTTAAAAATATTTTAAGATGATGAAAATGTTATGACAGAAGATGCACACTTAAACTGAATCAAGCAGTCAACCTTAAGCAAGATGGTACCAAGTTTTAAAGCTGCGAAAAGGAATACACAAGAGCATGATGTGCAATTCCTACTTTAGGTAGTGCTGGAGTCAAATATACCTACATAATATTTACAGATGGCACAAATTGAATGCCAAATAAATTGATTAACGCACCGAGTTAAAAATCACAAGTCAATCGCACACAGGGTAAATCACATACAGATAAATATTTTGAGTTAACAACAATAACAAAGAACAGGTTAGATCCTTAATTAACCTTTCCTTAAAAAATATTCACATGGAGAGGAAAATCTGAGTACTCCTATTTCATGATTAAGTGAGGACCCAAACGAGGGCCAGCCTTGAAAAGCTATCTTAGGAAACAGACCAAAGAATTCCTACCTCAAAATATTTACTAAAAGGGTTTCCGTGAAGTCGGCCTGGTTCTAGCACGGAGACAAGGTTTCAAGAATCTCGAAAACACGTTTTTGAAGAAGCTATCTCCTTCATTACAACACATCTTAACCATGCAATAGGGCCTGCAGACTAGTGTTCCTCTTTAACATGCAGACAACAATTTAAACGACACAATTTACCTTACTGAGAACATTCAACCACAAATGAAGATGAGCGAGTAATCAGACAAAATTTTGACTGAAACAATGGTTTAGCCTAGGGGCTTTTGACACTTTTTATTGCTTCTGTTAAGTCTACATATTTCAAATCCAAAACGTTCTTGCGTCAAAAAAACGGAGTAAATTGCTGGATGAAGAAATTCAGAGACTGCCTGGTATCACAGAATCGCAGCATCGGTTCCATTACTATGTACACATTGAGATTACATACAGATTCATCAATGAGGTGAAATCATGATAAAGACTGAGGCTGAACCTCACCATAAAATACTAACAAAAAATGAACCATTCGTGTCTATGTTTGTTTTGTGTTTTTTTTTTTTTTCACTGTTTCAATCAAGATGTGTAATAAATTGTCTTTAAATATTTGGGTTTGCTAAGGATGATGTTCGTTATTCCAAACGAAGAAATGATAACGCATTGCGATTAAAAATCGCCTTTTGAAAAACTGCCTAATGCTTGGTGATTGGTTGCATTGAGATAAATAGGAGTGAAGGTACCGTTACTGCTGACAAAACGGCAGTAACGCTATTGGTATACTACAATTAAATTGCACAGGTAACTTCATGGGAGGAAAAAGTGGTAACTTCTTTCAATACTGATTGGTTTAGAGGCCACCTCCACTGCGCTCAACGGAGATTTTCTTCTTGAGCTTATCAGCTTCATGTTGCTCCTCTTCCATCTCTGCCATACGTGCGAAACGGGAATACGTCACGTGACCAGACTTGATGGCGGACATCATCTGCAAAATTAGAATGATACAGTTAGCAGCAGATAATGGAATTAGCCCTCATGAAATTAATTCAGATGTTTTAGAGCTGCCAGTGTGATCAATTTTGATCATATTTTACGATTGTTATTCAAATTTTGAGAGTCTTCGCTAATGAAAGTGAGAAGACTGGATCATGTAAAGAGTGTCATAACATCACTTGTCTAAAATAGGAAGACAAGATTTTTTGAACACAAAGAAATTGCGCTAGACTGTAGGCAAGAACTCAAACTTTTGCGAGTATGATCGTATCATGGGTTGCGGTGGCCACCTCTGGACAAAGTCTAAACACAGTATTCAACTATACAATGAAAATACCTGTTTTTACCTCACACAGTCTTTAAAAGTCTACAAAATTTATTCCATTGCAATCCACCTTGGAGGAAAGCTGGAAATCCGTCATTAAATCATTTCTATAGAGACTTTGATGAGGCTGAAATGTGATGGATCTACGAAACGAAAAGGGACGTCATCTTCCAAAAGAAAATCTTCCATAACACTGCACAGTTCGTTTCAGAGGGAGGTAAATAAAATAGTGTTGCCCACTCAAAATTCCTTCGAGATCTTGAAGTAGGATGCATACACAGTCATTCAAGCCTAAAATGAAAATATTCTGTCGAGCTCTTCGAAAATAAAATCGATTTTTGTGTTTTTGGCGCTAAAATGGCCTTCAAAAACGATCAATGATTCAATTCCGATGGGTTGTGCATATGCAAAATGGTACATGTATGATGAAATCTACGTATTTTTGGACCAGGAATCGATTGAGCAGGGTCCCGAATCGGTCCAAAGCTTCACTGACCGAAAAATGGGCCTTTTTTGGGATTTTAGGGATGTTTTGGGCACATTTTTTCCCAATTTTGTCGTGAGAAAACCTGTGCCGTCATGGGTATTGATTATTAG